TACCATAACTTCTTAAGACCTTAATAGATGTGTGGTATTGTGTACGAATTTCAGCACAAAAGTTTTTGAATATAGTAAGTAAGTCAGACCTATTTTTCAATAGGTAAACCCTAGTACACCGACTGAAATCATCAATAAAAGTAACAAAATATTGAAAACCTAGACTTGACTTAAAACAACAAGGACCCAAAATATCTAAGTCAACTAATGCAAAAGATTCAGATGTTCTATTATTGACGCGCTTTGGAGAAGTAGTACGAGACTGTTTTCCAAACTTGCATGATTCACATGGTAACGTAGACAGTGATGTAAAATTAGGAAGAATACGTTTTAATTTTGATAAATTGGGATAATCTAATTATTGATGGAACAATTCAGGAGACTAAACAGAGGCAGTTGCGAAAGTAGAAGATAGCCAAGAAGACTTATTTAGGTAATATAGCCCATGAGACTCATGTCCGGTACCAATCGTCCGTCCTGTGCTACGATCTTGAATAACAAAGGAACTACCGGTCAATAAAATAGAACAATCTAAATCTTTAGTAAGTCGACTAACATATATGAGGTTAAATGGACTCTGTGGTATATAAAGGACAGACTCAAGAGATAAATTAGTGACCGACAAACCCTACCAATAGCTTCAGGATATGCTTTATCACCATTAGCCAGAGTGACATGTGTTAGAGAATTTGACTGATGAAAAGTAGAAAACAAATACGGATTACCAAAAATATGATCGGTTGCACCGGAATCTAGTACCCATGAGCCTAGTGTAGATTGAGAAATACCGATAAATGGGTTTTGTAAGAGGGTTAGCAACCATGGTTTTTGTAGATACATAATCTAACTTGATATCACCATCTCTATTGCATCTCACAATCCGTATTTGATCCCAACATGTTTGGTCTTTCCATGATATTTGGGATCTTTTGTGTAAGCCAATGAAGCCATACTATCACTAAGAATAGTTATGGGTTTCACGTTTCTTTCGAGCAACCCAAGGTGTTCAAGAAAATTTCTAAGCCACAGAGCTTCTTGAATAGCTGTAGACCCGGCCACAAATTCTGCCTCCATAGTCAATAGTGCTATGCAAGTTTGCTTCTTACTTCATCAGGTGATTGCTCCATTATTCATCAGTAGTAACAAATATCCTGATGTGGACTTGTGATCTTTTTTACCACCACCCCAATCAGCATCATCAGTGTATCCAAGGGGCTGAATGTTGTTACCTTCGTAACATAGCCACTAGTCTTTTGTACCTCGAAGTTATCATAAGACTCTTTTGACACACTTTCAATGTTCAATTCCAGGGTTTGATGAAGATCTTGCCAATAGTCCAACGGCATAGCTTATTTTTGGCCTTGTGCATAACATGGCGTACATTAGGCTACCAATAACACTCAAGTATGGAGTCTTTTCCATTCCTTCCTTCTCTTGAGGACTTTTTGGAGACATTGATGAACTCAATTTGCAATTGTGTGCTAAAGGGGTATTCATGGGTTTGGAGTTCATGTTGAACCTTTCAAGTACCTTATCGATATATGGTTCTTGGTTTAAACATAGAACCTTCTTTTTTCTATCTCTCCGGATCTTAATCCCAAGGTTATAAGTAGCTTATCCCAAATCCTTCATTTCGAAGTTGAGGACAAACATTCATTAATGGTTGTCAAACAACTCATGTTATCACTAGCAAGCAATATATCATCAACATGTAATGACATAAGTACAAAACCTTTTTCTTCTTTAAGGATATAAACATAGTGTTCTTCATGCATCATTTGGAAGCCTCACCTTACAATTGTACGATGAAACTTCAGTACCATTGCCTTGAAGCTTTCTTTAGCCCATAAATGGACCTTTTTAGCTTATATACCATGTGTTCTTTTCTTTTTTCGACAAAACCCTCAGGTTGAGCCATATAGATTTATTCACTTATCTCACAATTGAGAAAAGTTGTGTTTACATCCATTTGATGTAAATCCAAATTAAGGCTTGCAACTAATGTTAAGATTAACCTTTTTAGCTTACATACCATGTACCGGGCTAGAGAAGGGATTGGAACTCGGTCGAATGACCCCAGCTGTAAGCATATCGTTAACCAGTTTCTCTGTTTCATCTTTCTAGAGATGGCCGTAACGGTACGGTACAAATACCGGATGTGAGCCTGGGATAAGCTCAATTCTGTGGTCAGTGGAGCGCTGTGGCGGTAAACCGGACGGTTCCACAAAAACCTCGGAATACTCTTCTAACATCACTTTCACTCGCTCCTGCTCCGTCTCCGAAAACCACACCACATCGACATCAACTACTACTGCCCAAAGCTTCACATTGCTGGTGCGAACCAAAGTGCGCAGCTCAACGGAACTACGACTAAGGGTGGGGTCACCCCGTAAAACGACTCGTTGATCCCCTTGGAGGAACGACATAGACATTCGTTCCCAATTAACACTTACATCTCCAAGAGTCACCAACCACGCCACTCCCAGTATAACATCGACACCACCCAATGTGAACACAAAGTAATCTGCAGTTAGCTCGCACCCCGCCAAAGTCATCGACACCCCACGACATAAATCCGCCGACTTTTGCCGGTGTCCGTCACCCAACTGCACCCCAAATTTAACTGATTCATCCGGCTTAAGCTGCAATAATGGAACCAACGATGAAGATATGAAATTATGACTAGCACCACTATCAATTAACACGGTTACCACACATCCGTGGACTATCCCGTGCATGCGCATAGTGCCTGGATTCGAAAATTCAGCCATGGAAAAGACAGGTAAGGCACCCTATCTCCTCCGCGAGCTCCTCTTACCCGATAGGTTCGTAATATTCATGATTCTGCAAATCCACTTTGTCATCCGGCTCCACAAATAAAACCCGCAACTCCCTAAGTGGACAAACTCTTGCATGACCCGACGTGTACGTCTTGCGGCACTTGAAACACAAACCCTTTGCTCTTAAGTCTGCCATCTCGTTCGATGTTACGCGGGTAAATCGTGAACGCGCAGTCGATCGTTCAGAGGCTGCCGGGGTGGCTGTTGCCGATTTTTCCGACGGTCGAGACAGATGACTAGCAGAATTACCCCCAAATGGTCCAGGTACTGTGCTGGTTTTTCCGGCGCTAAGCGGACTCGAGTAAATTAAAGGGCCGTTGCCCGGAATTATTCAAACCTCTGAACTGCCTATCACCTCCTGGTCAATTCAGATTTTCCTCAATATCTCGTGAAATTCCATCACGGTCTCCAAGTCTGCTGGTCGGAGCAGACGTAGAAAGTTGCTGATAGCAGTTTTCAATCCGGACATAAAATAGCGAGATAATGGGCATCTGACAGCCCCGGAACCTGTCCGGCGAGCTGTATGAACACATTCACATAATCCTCAACTGTCCCTGTCTGACGAACTCTCGCTAACCTTTCGAACGAGCTTCCCTTGAATTGGGAGTCAAACCTCGCTATTAAGGCTTGCGAGAATTTGTTCCAAGTCACGTTGGGCTTCCGGGCGCGCAGCCAGGTGACCCAATGCAGCGCAGCACCATCCATAGCCACCACAGCGGCCGAGATCTTAGACTCCTCAAACGTCCCATGCTACTCAAACTGCTGATTGGCGCGGGCCAACCAGGCGATCGGGTCCACGCCGTCGAACGTGGGTAACTGTACCGGTGCAGGGGGAACGTCCAACACCACAACAGCGGGTAGGGCAGGTTCTGCCCGGGCAGCCGGCGGCACAGGAAAAGCTGAGGGCAGGGCGGGTTGTGATGCGGACCCCTCCTGCGAGTCAGCGGCCTGATCCGGCGCACCACCAGGGCCCAAAATCGCGCGGGACAGCGCGGCCAGGGTGGTCGACATCTCCTGCAATTGGGTGGTATTCTCCACCAACCCCGATGTAAATTCCGACATCTGTTCGTTATTTTCAATGATCCTGCGAAGCATATTAGCCTGATCAGATTCCAGTTTCTCCAATCTCTCAGCGGCGGAACGAGTAGTCGAGATTACGACGGGTCGGAATCCGGCAGGTCGGACCAATTGTTAGAAACAATTATAATGAACAACAACAATCAAACGCAGCAGACGTATGCTAAGCCACCGGGCTCCTAATTTACTTAATGATGTGATGATAAACAATAACCCTAATCTTAACAATATAAATGCTAGACTAACTACCAAAAATAGAAATTAACAAAACACTATAGTCCACTTAATTAAACATAACAATTAAATCAACCGGCCCACGAAAGTGGACTCAAGCCCGACTTTGCCGACGACAGATCAACAGGGGTCGTGGCTCAGTAGCAGCCTCGACCACGGGCTGGTCCCCCTCATCCTGCTCGCTATCATTCGCTCTTGTTTTTTATAGGTAGAATCATATTGCATGAAGTGGGATTTGTTCCTATTTATTGGTACAAGATACTTTAAACCTAAGCATACTTCATTGTGAAGTCATTTCCATGCATCGCGACACATCGTCGCTGATGTGTATTGCTCATAGCACAACACTTGGCTTGCATGTGATTTGACACGTCATGCTTGATGTGTCATGTTCACAATGTGACACTTGTTCCACATGTCACATTGTATTTGATATGTCTTTCTAGAATTGCGCCACCTCATGCTTAAAACACATCCTGCTTAAAGGTTTCTTCACAAAGAAGAGACACGTCGTACTTAAGGCCACCTTGTGCTTAGGAACACATCATGCCTAACAACACCTCGTGCTTATTTAATATCTATTATTTGATCTTTATAAGCAGACTACAACATCGACAACACTTATTTAATATCTAACACAATCAATAGCCAAGTTTCATCATTTCTATTAATATATCATACTTCTCACAGTTTGTGTATCATATCAGCCTAGAGTGACTAAATAGATATATTTTCAAGCTAGACTAGTTAAAGCAATCTTTTTCGCCTTTTGTCCATTTATTTCTCTACACATGGACGACATCAAGCGTAAGTTCATGTAGGTGTTGATGGGGACCATTATGATTGCAGATGGGAAACTGGTACTCTGTTTTCACTGCTCTTTGGAGGTCTTTGTTACTTTGGAAGGTAACTATATCTTCCTCCGCATTTTCTTTTAATCAGAACTTTCATTACATTGACATGATATCTACATTGTATGCCTTCAATCCCAAGCTCAAGAACATGTAATATGTACTATAACTTAGTTTGATCTTATAATCATGAGATATATGTTGATTAAATCGTAGGCTGTAAACAATGATAGAACCGCCATAAACAAACATTGTACTTTGGAGTTTTACTGTTAAATTGACCTTTCTTTTTTGTCAATTATTTCTCTTCTTCTCTAGACATTTTATGCAGCATTGAGGGGTTCTATTTCTTCGCAGTCAACGTGTTATTGGAGCAGTAAACGGCGTCCTAGTATTTGGCATCATAACATCTTTTGCAGCTCTTGTGGTAATTCCCCATCTTTTAGACCAAGATGAATTAAATTTTTCACTTTGTTTTCCATTATGATAAGATATCCATTTCCGAAAAGAAACTGTCCATTGGATGGAAATATAATGCAATTTTATTAACTTTTGGATTTGTATTTCGAATTAACATTTGATGCATACATTCTTAGTTGGTCGCTAGTGGTGACATACACTTGGATGCTCTTCTAAAAGCTAACTTAGCAGCTGCACCCCACAGTATACCTATCATAGCCCTTTCCTTTGTCTATCAGGTGGCAAAACTATTACACCAATTTATGAATACTCTATATTATGTACCTGTGTTCTTATTACACTCTGTTGCTGCAGAATGTTGTGCCGGTGCTCTGTACAAATCTAGAAGGCGATTTGTCGAAAGTAAGGTGATAGTTCTTTGTCATCATGTTGCACAATGGATAGACTTTCATTGCTGAAATCCGGATAGAGGCTTGTCGGCTTTCTGGTGCATATTTTGGACATCAGAAACTCTCAGATCCTTCTTTTGATTGATCTGAACACTTCCCTAGGCTGTCTGTTTTCTTTTATTGTTAACTCCGTTGATCTGCAGGACTGCCATTGTTCTCGGCACAGCTATTCCACTTGCCTTATTTCTTGTCTGGAACGCTGTCATTCTTGGCTTCATTACGACTCCTGACATGGGCTCAGGACCATTTGTGGATCCTCTGCAACAATTGCGAGAAGCAAGTGGAGTTGTTGGGGTCAGCATGATGATCAACCTTTGCAATGATTTCTGTTATTATTCGAAGAGTATAATATATACCTTTTATACCTCTTGTTCTGCAGCCAATAGTCGATGTCTTCTCAGTTCTTGCAATTGCCACATCATACATTGGATTTGTTCTGGGTCTCGCTGATTTCCTTGCTGACTGTAAGTCTATACATTTGTTTCTCAGTGTAAGACATGCCGCATGATGTTTCCCTGAAAATATCATCTGCAGTTTTCAAGCTTCCATCCGGGCAGAACAGGCCTCTGCCGTATTTGCTCACTCTATTTCCACCATTGATATTATCTTTACTGGATCCTGAGATTTTCTTTAAAGCATTGGATTTCGCCGGGACCTATGGAGGTAGCAATATAAATCTGTACAAAGTTATCATGTGTCAAGAATGTTGAAGATCATTTACATATTGACTAATTGTACAACTGTATCTGTTCATACCAGATCCGGTGATTTCTGCCTACAACTCACCAATTTTTCTGCTTTTCTTGTGGATTTGTAGTGTTGGTGCTGTTTGGAGTTGTTCCGGGTGCAATGGCATGGTCGGACCGGTACTCAGAATCATCTGATTCTCCGAAAATCCCCGCACTAGTGCCCGGAGGGAAATTCGCCCTCGCCCTTGTAATGGGAGGCGCAGGTCTAGTCATTCTTACCCAATTGCTTGAAAATTACATACATGCATGACTCCACAGCTTATTGCGATCTCAAACTTTTAGAGATTCAAAACCGTTAATGTCGTCGATGCTCCTAAGAACTTATTGTTTGACGAGGCAAGGCAACGGCAAAACAGCAGCAAATGCCAAATGACAGGCGACATGACTCCATGGCATCCAAAATTGAGTAGAATTGCGTTGTAGCGGTAAGTAAACAAATGGCTGCGATTTGCAGGAGTAAATTGCCGATTACCCGGTAGTAGTAGCAGTAGCAGTAGCAGAGATATGAGATGAGATTCCACTTCCACTGTCAACAGGATTCATGCCTTGGGGCCAGTCTTCAATACCTGATATATCATAATACCTCTATATATACACCAATAACGTTTATTGAATTGAGATTTTAATGGATTTTATAAAGTTTAAGTATTTATGTAAATTTAGAAACTCTACAAAATTTGGTGGATTTTAGTAATTATTTTGAAGGATTTTTACTGATTTAATTGAATTCAATTTTGTAGGATTGTAAAATATATTTTTTTATAAATGTATATTAATTATAGAAATTTATATCAAACACATCATTTATAAATATAATATATTTATAATTAAATTATTATATTTTTATAAAATAAAATTTAATATTAATAAATAATATATAATTATTAATAATGTAGAAGTTTGGTAATATTTGTAATACTACTATAACATATCAAATTAGTTTTATATTTCTTTATTAGTTATTATTATTATTATTTATATAACTTTTTTACATACAAAAATTAAATACGTATATAAATAAAATAAAAAAATATAATTTATGAATTTTGAAAAAATATTAAAATAAATAAATAAATAAATATAAATTAAAGGTTCAACAAAATATATATATTTAAATATCTATTTCACCTTCATTAGAATAATAATACAGTGTATTCGATAATTGAAAAATGAGAATTAAACCGGAATGACAATATATTATATTTGATAATTGAAAAGAAAATAAGACAGTAATACATATTTATTATGATAATAATATTTTTTAAATTATATTTATAATATAAAAATATGTATTTAAAAAAATCATAATAATTTGCTAATATATTATAGTTTTAAATTATTATTTTTATTAAAAATTATAATAATATTAATAAATATTATTATATTATTTATCACATATACAATAGTAATAATAATAATTTTAAAAATCCATCAAAATAAAATCTGATTATGAAAGATTTTATCTTGTACAAAATTTTCACAATTAGTAGACTTTAAAAGTCTATAAATTGTTAATGTCTTCAGATTTTAAAAGATTGGATTGAATATACCTAGATTTTGAAAGTCAAACAAAATTTTACTGAGTCTAAATAGAATACACAAGTGTGTGTTTGTTTGGGGGATTGGATTAGATTTCCACTGTTCATCTCATTTTTTTCCCCCAAAAAACATCAAATCAAACACCTATTTTTCATTTTTTATATTATATTAAAAATCAATTTTACATTCAAAACATCACATCAACACCTATTTATATCATATCATACAACTATTCAAATTCAAAATTTTTACTGTTCAAATCCCAACTCAAAATCCAAAGCGCCAAAGACAATTCCACCCTTCCAAATATAAAATTGTATTATTTTTATTTCTTCAGATTTGTAATTTATACTTCATGTATCCAAAATTATCATTTAATCACATCATTTGTTCTTTCCACGTATTCAAGTTTTGGTCCGATTTAAATTCTTTGCTTTTCTCAAGAAATATTTAAAATATATAGTCATATTTAAGTTTTTGGCCAATTTAATATGTATATATATACTTAGCATGTAATTTATGCCGGTTATTTTGATATTAAAATATATTATTTGAATCAAATTAATTTCAAAATTTTCATAACAATAAAAAAAAATTAAAAAAATAATTTGTAAAAAATAAGAATAACAAAATAGATAGATAATAAAATGCATGTACAATAAAAATGAAATTATTACGATAAAAATAAAAATTAATTTTCTATATGAATTTTTTCAATATTTTTTCATATCAACATATTCGAAATTGGAACATAATTTACAAATATTGAAAAATCGTAAAAAAAACTATAAAATAAATAATTTTAAAAGTACATAAATAATACAAATGAATGTACTAAAATAAAAATAAAATTACTATATATTAAAATTTATTATAATTTTATGTATAAATTTTCTATTTTTTCAAATTAAAATATTCAAAATTTAAACATAATATAAAATTTTAAAAATATAATGCTAAAAAAATAAATCAATTGAGAAAACACATAAGAAATTGATTAGTAAAAAATAAAAATAATGCAATAGATAATTAAAAACTAAGGATTTTTTTGTTTAGTTCTTTGTTTAACATATATTTTTTTTGTATGAAGTATGGAGAACCGTGTCAATAATATAAAAAATAATAGAATTTTTTTGGTTAAATTGTTGACTTTTGCGAAAGAAAATATAAATATTATGTATAATACTTTTCGCAAATCGAAAGAATATTAGAATATAATATTAAAACTAATTCATTTAAAATAATACATAAGAATAAAATTATTAAAATAAAAATAAAATTTTGTGGAATGCGCCAACACCACCATAGGGATGTCACGGTCCGTACTTTGCTAATCTTCAATGGATGAGGACCGTCAAAACATAGGAGTAAAGAGGGCATGTTGCAGAGATGCAACCGCCGCCAACCTTCCAACAGCAGGCAGCTTGAGTGCAGCCACTGTCACCAAATTAACAGGAGGCCAAGCCTCTTATGGACGTTGATATTATTGCAGATTGCATAATGAGAGCATTTTACAAAAGAAGATTTGAAGAGAAGTCTATTGACACTTTGAGCGCGGAAAATTTACCTCCATACGAAAAAGAGGCTGCAGGGGCAAAATCTTCAGAGGCCATGGAGGCTCTGGACGAAAAAAAAGTCTACCGGGACATAGGCTTCAGAGGCCATGGAGGCTCTGGATGGCAAGGAGTCTGCCGGGACAAAGGCTCCAAAGGCCATGGAGGCTCCATATGAAAATGAGGCTGCAGGGGCAGAGTCTCAAGAGGCCATTGAGGCTCTGGACAGCAAGGAGTCTGTCGGGACAAAGGCTCCAAAGGCCATGGAGGCTCCATATGAAAATGAGGCTGCAGGAGCAGAGTCTCCATAGGCCATGGACGCTCCGGACGAAAAGAAGTCTTCCGGGACACATGCTCCAGATGTCATGGAGGCTCCATACGAAAAAGAGGCTGCAGGGGCAGAGTCTCCAGAGGCCATGGAGGTTCTGGACGAAAAGGAGTCTGCTGGGACACAGGCTCCAGAGGCCATGGAGGCTCCATATAAAAATGAGGCTATAGGGGCAGAGTCTCCATAGGCCATAGAGGCTCCGAACGAAGTCTTCCGGGAAACATGCTCCAGAGGTCATTGAGGCTCCATACGAAAAGGAGGCTACAGGGGCAAAGACTTCAGAGGCTATAAAGGTTCCAGACAAAGAGGAGTCTACCCCGACACATGCTCCAGAGACCATGGAGACTTCATATGAAAATAAGTCTACAAAGGCAAAGACTCCATACGAAAAAAGAGTTTGCACGGGCAGAAGACCTAGCAACTTCAGACCAAAAGGGCTTTGCGGATGCAGAAGCTTTGGCCACAAAATTAGCAAATGGAAAGACTTATTTGTGTTCGGAATTGGAGCTGACCAAAGGGCTTATTTCTACTGCTAATACCATGTCGGCTAAATGGCCTATGAAAGATGGCTTGGCACCCAGCCATCAAAGCTTTCGGTTCAAGACTGTCTAGGACTGAAGGCACCTGCTAGAAAAGCCGTTGACTTGTCGCGCGGTCAATCAAATAATTCACTTATTTCGTGATCACAATTTAATGTAATACAGGGGAATGGATCGTCTCTACAGGGATTGTGTGATTCACTCTTTCGTGTTCTAATGCAGTAAATAAATGGGAGAATTTTCTTTTATTATCTAATGAAGACAATAACAAAACAATTAAATTAACAAAGAACAAGCTATCAAGGGGATGCTTGGCTCAAGGGATGATGCAGTTATGACACTTGTGTTTTATCATTGATTCAATAAAGTTATTTATTATTAAAGTATCAATAAATTGGTTATAGTTACCAATAAGCTTTGACAACCAATTTTTCCTTACAGTGTAGGTAATTAAGGTACGACCGTTAACTACCCATAATTAAGCTAATAAACCTAGGTACGCCAATAGGAAATATTGTCTAATCGCATTATAATCTAGACAAACCCAATTCAAAACAATCACTACCTAAGAGGAGAAATTAGATTTGATTGTTTAACCCCCGAGACGGGACTATTCAACCTAGTTGTCACCTATTCAAGTGCGAATACAATTACGGATATCCTACCTGAATTGACTTTAGATTATCAGACTAACTTAAATATCGGTACCAAAATATCCAATCAATCTAACAATCACAAACGTTATTTTCAGAATTAGACAAATATTGATAATTAAAAAGAACTTTTATAAAGAAAGTCAAGAATCTCCAAAACATAAGAACCAAAACATTATCATCCCTCAAACTAGAAAAATATCTACTCCATAATCAAATAACAAAGAACAATAGAGAAAGATAAAGTCATAGTGGGAGGGGAAATCTTCTATGTCGATTTGCTGCTGCACGATCTATGAGTCTGTCAGTCTCCTGCTCTTGTGCGTATCTGCTCTGGTCGTTCTCCCCTCTCTTCTGCGTGTCTACACCTCTTTTTATTTAATTTTTGCCCTAATCATTTTTTAGTTGGGCTTTTGGGCCTTTAATTAAATTTTCATGTCAAGAGGGTGTAGTTAGTCATGGCTATGACTAGCCAGGTTGTGCAAATCTGAATTTTTAATTACTTTTTCTACCAATTACACAAAATTTGATATTTTCCCTGTGCATACAACAAATAAACAATACGCATATAAATTAGATAGAATCCAATCAAAACCAATCAAATATCGCATATAATATGAACATTTAACGTATGCGATTTCTAACTATCAGCAGTCTTCAAAATAATGAAATTTGGTAAAGGTTCAAGTTTGAACGTGGATGAGGCAAGACAAAGATGGTTAAGAGGATGCCTACTGTCGGTGTCACCATCCCAAGTCTGAAAGCCTCAGGATTGGAAAAGAAAGAAGCATACAAAGGATCCAAGTCGGACGCCATCGTAGCATAAGTGAAAGTTGCGAATGGGAAACGGATTTGGACTGTAACCATTGCTTACCAGATCACAATCGTTCCCAAGGCGACACAGAAGCCTTCTATAGTGAAAGAGAATGAAAAAAATGGATTGTGAATGAGCCGAAGCTTTCCACCAGAGGGGCAATAAGAGGACTCAACAAGACTCAAAAGAGGCGAGCTCAAAGAAGAAAGTCTCATGCTCGTATGAAGGAGGAAAGGTCACATGAGCCGTCTATGAAAGAAACTAGATGGAAGAGCCGCCTTAAAAAAAAAAAAAAA